GCTGCGGGAGCCGAAGCCTTGGCCCCCACAGCGGCCCCCACCCGCGGACCCCGACTGGGAGAGACCGGCATCTCACGCGCATTTGGGCCCCATGAGGTTCATGCACATCAACTCCAGGTCCTGGTAGCGTTTGTCAAAGCCGACAGCCAGTGTGAGGGTTCCGGAAGGCGTGCGGAAAAGCGGGGTTCGAGGGCACGGTGGCCCTGGGGGTCCAGGCTGCCCTGACCTGTTTCCTGGCTGCAGGTCCCGCCATCATCATCATCATCATCATCGACCACAGAACCCCCAGCGGCGGGACGCCCTGGCTGTGCCGGTCTGTTCGAGCCACACCCGTTTCAGAAACACGGTTGTCGTTGGTGTGCGCGCCGGCGGGACGGAGGGGAGTCCGTGATGCCCCTCATTCCTGCGGCTTTACAGGAGGTACGGGGAACCCCAGCCGCCTGGCCTGTTACCGGAGCTGCGGCAGCTGGAGTTCGGAGCGGCGCGGTCCCAGCTGAAGCTCGGGGCTTGTAACTCAGTATCCACGGCGCCAGAGAAAGGCCGAGACGCCACTCAAACCACGAGCGAGGACAGCTACACACAGCATGTAAGCCAGCGTTTGGAACAGCAGCGGGCTATGCGTCGGGTGAATGACTAGGGAAGGAGTTAGCAAAAAGGCCTCTAACTGAGAAAAAGGCTGGCTCGTTCCGTCCTAGAAATTCACGCCTGAAGATGGGCCAGGAGTGGCAAGGCGCTTACCACTCGGAAAACGGAGACAATGTACCACAAGACGTGAAGCTGCTACCTGTCACTGGACAGGGAGGAAAAATCTGACACTCTGTGCCCGTCATCGGAGTGAGCAACGGCAACAGGAAGGCTGCGAAGATCACGGAATCGGTTCATTCTGACCTCCCCACAGACACCCCATCGGGTAAACATAGAGACAAGAGGAAAAGCTCCCTGGACGTCAGGAGCGCGGCCTCGCGAGCCAGCGGAGTGGCCAGCCAGAGGCGACACTCCTCCACGGCCCGGATCCACTCCAGGACCATGGAGGCGCCCATCACCAAGGTGATCAATATGATCAGTGCTGCCCAGGAGAACAGTTCCCTGCCTGTGACCGGAGCCACTCCGTGACCATGGAGGCGCCCATCGCCACGGTGATCGACATCCCAGTGCCGCCCAGGAGGACAGTTCCCTGCCTGTGACGGCAGCCTCGGACCGCGCCCTGGAAATGCTGGGGACCTCGGGGCTGTACTCACCCCAGTTCGGGGCGAAGGCCGGGGATCCTCACACCCAGGACCTCATCGGGGGCCTGATGTCTGACGGCTGTCGAAGACTATCCGGGAATGAGTGTGCTCTCTCCACAAAAAACCCTGCATCAAACGTCGGGCCGCTGACTCACCTCCGAGTCCCTCCATGCTCTCCCACCGCGGACAGCTGAGGCCTGGGAAACGCTGACGACGGGGACCTGAACGTCTTTGAACTGGAGGCTGCCGCTCAGAAAGGGCCTCTGACTTCTCTTGGTCTCAAAACTTTCGCTCGCTTTGGGGTCTGTGAGTTCTTGAAGTGCTCGGAGACGACGACGCTGCGGCTGTGGCTGCAACTACCACTCCTCCAACCCCTGCCACAACTCCACCCACGCTGCCCACGTGCTGCCCACTTCCTCTGCCAGGAGAGGATCAAGCAAGCCTT